ATTTGCCGTTTATTCAGCCATTGTGTCTGTGTATGCTAGAATATATAGGATCACTCCATCTGATTAAAACAGCAAAGTTTGTGTTGAAAACGATAATACGCCATAAACGTGATTTAAACATTTTTCTTGTCAAACTGCGCGCCTATATTCACATGTATTTCCCAAACTGCGTGCCTAATATTTCAAAACTGCTTGCCAATCCAAGCTTGTTTTGTATTATTAGAAAACATAAGCGCCATACAAGGCACATATGTGTCTAATAGTAGAACCCCATAATTGAAACACTATGAGAGTCCATCCACCAAGATGGTGATCTGAAAATAAACGTTTTTTTCGTTCCCAACTTAATTGTCATTTCTATTATACATTTTGACTTTCAATATGAAAATCTCATAAAATCTGACGATAAAGCAAAATTTCCAAAGCTACATCGAAAACACCTACACGTACCTCTGTGGAAATTCCAATGATAATATGTAGTTTTAATAGTGTATGCGCACAGATTGTAATTTCTGGCTAAAATAGGCGCGCAGTTTGTGGTTTATTTCTTTTTAATCTCCTGATTATTTGTTTTATCTCGAAATATTTTGAATTAAAAATGATAAATGTGTAAGGAATTAAATATAAAACGAGTCTAAAGTATTTGTCATTTATGTTTAAAGTGCTAGATCGATTTACGTATAAATTCCCATTAAATCAGTGACGAAAATGCCATTAATCTGCTTATGTTTTAAAACTAAGATTCATTTGCACACAGTTTTTGCTAGTATTTGCAAGATTCGTATATTCGCCACAGAATGAACGCATTGAACAAGAAAACAATGCAGGATAAATGTCTTTAAATAACGTTTCAAAATACAGACTCCAACTTAAATGATCCAATGTTCTTAGGCACGCAGTTTGTGATCGAAACAAACTGCGCGCCTAAGTAGGCGCGCAGCTTGACATGGGCACCGTGGGTACAGTCTGATTTTTGAATCCCTCTTGGTTTTCAGTTCGGTCTATATCACACTGTTATATTCTGCTATATATGATCATCAGATGATTTTTCTGAACCAAACGAACTTTCAAGGTCAATGATGGTTGGAGTTAGCTCTAGAATGCACACATGGCAACAATGGTAAAGTACTATTAACTCTTACCAGTTCATTGGATTTGCATATAATTTGGTCTGTATTTTTTTATAATGCGGCATATTTTGGACATGTATACCTATCACCAAACATCAGAACAATGCCAATATATCAATTTTGCCAAATGCCAAAATTGATATATATACAAAGAGCCAATTTCTGTCCAAAACTAGAATTAATTTGGAAAATAAGGCACGAGAGGTCTATTTATAGGGTCAAAATGAAACCTACGTGTACCCCAGATTGGCCAGTTGGTCCATACAATCATCATGAAATAACTTTGGTATTTCCAAATAACAACTCTTGGCCGTGACTTGGCATTGTCCCAGTAATGATGCAAGTGATACAAAATTCTGTTATTTCCATTAATTGATAAAACAAGACCCTCTCTATACAGTTTTACTGAATTTACATTGCTTTTTGAACCACTCATTTCAAGCACTTATCTTGTCATTAAGGTAATCAAATCAACAGATTACTAACCAATCAAAGTGATTTATTTTTCACTTTCTTTTGAACCTTTCTAGAACATTCTGACACCTCAATGGCTTAATTTTCATTTTATTTTATATAATATATTTATATCACACTAATACCTCAGTATACTAAATTAAATGATTGATTCTATATCAGATCTAATATTTTTTGCATGTTTTGTTTTCTAATAATGAAAACTATTTGACAACACCTTCTTATTTGCTAAGGGAATACTGTATAAGTGGTATTTTATCCGAGTGTTTAATTTTCCGAATGGTCAAATTTCATCATTTTCCTAATGACAAGAAACCTCCCATTGGATAACATTATAAAGACAATATTTCCGAAATTTAATTTTCCGAACCTGGCAAAAATTAGGAAATAGGTAAATTAAATGATTAGGCAAAATTACCACTTATACAGTATGGTGGTGATAAAAAGTTTTAGCACTCTTAATAACACTAATAGTGTTATGATTTATATCCCTATTTTTGCTAACAATAGCTTTTTACACCATTTTGATTGTAAGGTTAGTCTGGAAATGTTACGTGGTAACATACAGTGAAACCTTTAAAGTGGAACTCCTCTATAAGTAGAACACCTCCCAAGTGGAATACTTTTTAGAGGAACCAAAGATGTTCCACTTAGAGAGGTTCTACTATACAATATTTATTTTTATCGTATGATCTGTAAAATGAAGACCTCTGATTGGTCAGTTCATGTGCTGTACCAATCTGTATTGCTACTGAGATTGTCCCTGTTGATCATCTCCGTTGCAATACAGAAAATATTGGTACGGAGGGGACAATCTCAGTAGCAATACAGAGGATCACACGATAAAAATGTTATTGAATGATTTGAAGTTTTCGACTTCGTCTCGTTCCAATACGGAATTTCTCGAGCAGAATATATTCTGTATTGCACTTCAAATCATTCAATAACTTATAATAACCAAACGTGAATGATCCTTTCATAGACTCACTGTATTAAAAGAGGGGAAATAAGAGAGATTCAATATTTTTAACCGTATCTTTTTGTTTCTAACTGAAACTTATTAATGTAGGAATGTTTCGTTTTTGAGAGATGAGAGGACTTAGCAAAGGAAAGAAGAGTCTTCAATCCATTCCTTTTTATTCATGATGAATAAATATCATATTTATACTGTAAGATGAATCTAAACATAGGCAAATAAAATATTCTCAATGATAAAGAAAATATCAAAATACCTCCAAACACTTTTTTGAAAATCAAATTTTTGGATTCTCAACCTTTCCATTCTAAATCAATTTTTTTGTCATCCAGTAGTATTGCTCCAAGACCCTGGACTATCTACTCTAACAATAAGTTGTTACATGTAAGTTAAGGAAACAGGTCCCGGGCCCATAGCCAGGATTTGTAAAGGGGGGTTCACTTTTTGAAAAATTCCAGAGGGTTCACCTTTGACAATTTGGGTCCAAAAATGGCCAAAATCACTTAAAAAGTGTTCAGAATGATGAAAAACTGCATGATTTTTTTGAAAGAATGTTTGGCACGGCTTGAACCCATCGAACCCCCCCCCCCTGGCTAGGTGCCTGAGGTCCACAGTCTTGAAGCAAGACTATCTACTCTAAAGACTGTTAAATTATTATTTTGTCATACAATCAATTCATCAACATCTTTAACATAAGTGGCACTGTTTAAAATTTGATAATAAAAATGCAGTCTAAATAAAAATATCATAATCTCGATCTAACAGAAGTTAAATTCTTTGTCATCATATATTACATTTTTCTATCTGTTCTGCATTTATACTAAATTGTAGATATAGACTATGCTGCCATCTTTATAAGAAGGAAATATAATTTCCATGAAGCGGCCTGGATGCTGGAATTCAATCCTTGTATATATGTTTCTCGTTATTAAAAAGATTCAAAAGGATAGGTATCGATATGGAGAACTGAATTCAACAATGTTTTTCTCTTAAACCAATCATTGAAAACATTCTGTAAAAAAACATGGTATTTTATGTAATGTTGACTGATTAACAACAATTTAATGCGAAGATATAACTGTTTTTGTTAACATTTTTTGTTTTTTTAGTGCAATTGTTTTTGCTCCTTTCTACCAATTCTTGAGAATGAAATAAAATGTCTTTCCGAACCTTGTTGGAACAAAATACCATGTACAACATGTTTTTGGACCTCTCAATATTAAAGTTATACAAAGGAATTTTTGGTTCATTTTAAAAAAGTATTCAAAAAATTAAAACAAAATCCCCCCAAAATAGATAAAAATCAAAAAAACAACTTTTATTTCATTAACAAGATACTTTTTTAAAATGAACCAAAATTTCCTTTGTACAATTACAATATGGAGAGACCTAAACATGTTGTGTTTATGTCGTTTTGTTCCAATGAGGTTCGGAAAGATGTTTCATTTCACTCTGGAAACATGATACCAAGAACAAAACAAGTGTTTGATGTGCTTTTTAAAACAATATAGATGAAAGTATGTATATCTATTTCAAATTATATTGTTACCATTCAAAAGATGGCCATTCAATTGACAATTTGTAAGATTTTCAAAAAATTTTGATGACTGGTTTAAGAGAAACGTGTGTTCAAAAAGTTCGCCATATCGATACCCAATCTTTGTAGGATAAAATATGTTTGTACATACTTTGATAATTAATAATGTCTGACATTTTCATTTATTTATCATATGATGCAATAGTTTTAGTGCATCTGAATACCACACTTAAAACTACATTCATATATAGTTTGATATACTTGTGATAATGAATTCTTTGATCCATCCTGCATACAATACTGATACATTGTATCTCAGGGTAATATTAGACTGAGGGTCATTGTTGACATCAAAAAGTAGACAATGGTTTTCTCAGAATCTTAAGTTATGATGGTACCAAAAAGGAAGCCCAGGGTAACACTCCGTGGAGAGGTCCTGAATTAAGGGACATCATGACAAACATGCCCTTATTCTTTCATTCACCACCAGTATAGATAATCCAGGGGTAGGGAAACAGAATGTTTAAAGCCAGACCAATGAACCAAAAGTCCAAATTGAGTCTCATTTGATTCTGTTAGAAATCATGGGCAGAATCCTGTCTGAAATCCTCCACAAAACAACTTTTATCTTCTTGTATCTCATTTATTTTAATCAATATTATTGATTGAATACATTGTATATTGTAATTGTAGAACATGGTTTAAAATGCTCAAAGCACAGCCACGTACACATGTATTATTGTATTGTATTCTTTGTACAAATGAATAAATTAATAAAAAAAGATGGGCAAAATCCCATTGAGTCCAGTGGAATAACTCATATAAAAATGAATAAAAACCATCTGAGTAAATATTTGAACATTATTGTTTGTTGTGTTTCCAGAGCGACAGTGATAGAATATAAAGACATATGGTATCGTGATGACGGGGCACTCACTCGGACACTCTGTGAAGAATGTAAGTGACATCTATTAAGCTACGTTCACACCAACGGCGAATGCCACGCTTTAAATCAGCGAACAAAGCGCCGTCATTTTTGTCATTTTTCTTCATATCAACGGCGCTTCGATGGCGCTTTAAAGCGGCTTGTAAAGCGGCACCAAAGCGTAACAAAGCTTGATTAAAGCGGCGGGGTCGTTATAGGTCTTAGCAAAGCTCTGAGTAAAGCGGGATATTCGGCAAGAGCGCCAAAAATTTTTAAACTGTTTAAAAATTTTGGGCGCTCTGTTACGAATTGATTAAAGCGCCGAGAGCATATCAAAGCTGAACAAACCGTAACAAAGCTCAGAAAAGCTTGACCCAGAGCGTAGGAAAGCTTAACATAGCTCTGATAGGTTCCTCACGCTTTGAACAGGCTTTGTTACGTTTGAAATCACGCTTTGATAAGCTTTGATGAGCATTATTATGTTTTGATGCAATTATGACGCTTTAAATCAGGCTCTGATACGATTGCCAGCTCTGTTGTGCATTGTTACGCTCTGTTAAGCTCTGTCAAGTATTGGAAAATGTCGAGATCGCCGATTTCATGCCGCTTTTGATCCAATGACTATATAAAGATGCAGTAGCTTGTCAAGCGTAACAAAGCCTAACAAAGCGTTTCAATTCTTGATTAAAGCGTCTCAATTCGTTGGAAAGCTTGAGAGTCCTTCATGAAAGCGTAACAAAGAGTGTCAGATAATGATGAAAGCGTCTGACCTCGTGTCAGATCTTCATGCCAGATCGTAGCAAATCTTGAGACATTTTAACGAAGAGTGTAAAGTGGTAACAGACCGTGAAGAGACTGGGGTCCCCGCTTTGAACCAAGCTCTGTTAAGCTTTCCTACGCTTTGGGTCAAGCTTTGCTGAGCTTTGTTACGGTTTGTTAAGCTTTGATACGCTCTCGGCGCTTTAATCAATACGCAACAGAGCGCCCAAAATTTTTAAACAGTTTAAAAATTTTTGGCGCTCTTGCCGAATATCCCGCTTTACTCCGAACTTTTCTACGACCTATTGCGACCCTGACGCTTTAATCAAGCTTTCTTACGCTTTGGCACCGCTTTACAAGCCGCTTTAAAGCGCCTTCAAAGCGGCTTGTATTGGTGCGAATGCTTAAACAGTTTAAATTTTTTTAGCGCTCTTGCCGAATATCCCGCTTTACTCCAAGCTTTTCTACGACCTATTACGACCCCGACGCTTTAATCAAGCTTTGTTACGCTTTGGCGCCGCTTTACAAGCCGCTTTAAAGCGCCATCAAAGCGCCATTGGTGTGAACGTAGCTTTATATAATTATCATCTAATAGTTTTGTTACTTCGACAAAAATACCTATAATCAATAGATGTTTTCTGATCTATCCTGCCATCTTTTGATCCATCAGTGAAACTATGATATATTGGCTAGATTGATGATGTCATATGTTGTACTATTTCGAAATTATTAATAAGTTAATCCTTTTTTTGCATGGACAGGTTGCTACCTACAACCTATGACATTATCAATTTAGCCAATATATAATGATCTCTCCGATGGATCAAAAGATGGCAGGATTTATCAGAAACGTCTAAATTCAGTTGGTATAATATTAAAACATGGAATGGACACTTACAGCGCAGACAGGCAGAGACAGTTTTGATATACTTGTAACTTTAACAACATATAGTTTATTATTCTAATAAAGACCACATATAGTTTAGTATACTTTCATAAAGTTTAATACATAAACTTGTAATTGCATATATAGTTTGATACATCTGTTATTGTTTGAAATTGATATACATGTACTTGTAACTTCATTGATCGATATACTTGTAACTACAAATAGTTTGATATACTGGTACTTGTAACTACATCAAAAAAATACATCTCATGACAGCAAATAACATGATTTCTTTTATCCCAAAAAGAATGTCACAATGTACATACATATTTATGACATCGAACTGTGACATCCCTCCCCACTGATTTCAACCATCATATGGCAGTTTTTATGTCACCACCAAAAAGTGGTGACATACTGTTATGGTCTCTATTTTTTATGGTAAATTTTAGGCAGATTTGAACCCCCCCTTGGAATTTTTAAAATCTGAACCACCTTTGGCAAAATGCCTGTTTATAGCCTTTAATATCAAACCAGACCTTCAAGATATCCTGGCAATTAAAATGACAAAGAATGTTGATTCTGTTCGACCTGGAAACCTTCCAGATTGGTCATCTCCATTGTACTGTTAAATGCCATAATCAAATCAAGATATATAAAATCAGCATATACAATGTCCTATTCACACATCACTATTATCAGGTTTGTTACATAAGCAATGTAAATAATGGTCATGTAAGGTAAGATTTCCTTATTATTGACTCATTTATAGGTTAATACATAGATAAAGATCAATAATTAACTCCAGTCATATTTCATAATACAAATGTATAACTAACTTACATATATTTTCCCACATATACATATAATGGGCACTGTACACTTTTAGTGTCGATGCACTTTAAATCAGGAATATTGAAACTGAAACATAAATATGAAACTATATTAGATTCACTGGCATGTAGCGGCCCTGATATCGATAAATTCTACACGCAATATAAGCCGATTTTAGATGCTTGGTTAAAACTTTACACGAAAAAGCCTCGATATCCGGGCATTTACTCTTACACTGAACTGAAAATAGCATCGTCTAAACGTGTATGTCTTGGCTTCCGGGTAAGTTTATCAACATTTATACTCAATTGAAAGAGCAGTCGTGCTTATATCGTGTACCAGTTTGATTGTTTTATATGTGTGTGTATTTATAATATGATAGTTTAGTAATACCGTGTCGTTAGAACAAGTGCTAGATATCGAACTGATGACCTGAAATTAGATTATTGGACTGATCGCGCATCTGATATTAGATGATTAATTTGCATTGAATCTGATATTAACTTGCAACCCAATACCACAGTAAATAGCATGACTTTACATTAGAATGATAACACGGCCTCATATTCTAATTCATTATACGTCCATTGCAGACCAAAAATGTTTCAATGGGGATATTGTAATGCACACGAGAATACATTCGATTCGTATATATTGACACCCCAGTTGTCCGAAACCCAGTTGTCCGAAACTTAATTCCCCGAATCCCAGTTGTCCGAAACCCATTACTCCGAAAAATAAAGTCATAATTTACCAGAGAAAGGGGGGGGGGGGCGTAGCTTACTTAAGCTTACGTCAGTTTCATGCCATGTATTTGGCCAAATTAATGGCATGGACGCATTCTGATATTCATAGATCTCTCTCTCACTTTGAATTGCATCCATTGCATGGCGTTACCAGAATGGCAGGAACAGGAGATTTATTTTACATTGTGATTCTAAAAAAGGTTATTAAAACATAATATATATTACGGAACAGTTTATCTTATCTTCTTTAATCTCTTTTATATAGGCAAAATAAAATGAAACATTTTGAAACAGATAAAATAAGTAATCGCATAGAACTTTAAGAATAAAACAGTATACAAATTACGTTGTCAAAATATTTCGTCGCATTTAATTTCTTAGTCTCAGTCTCTTATCAAATCGTAAAAGAATAAAACATTCTAAACTTAATCACTTGGGATTTATGTTTCGGCATTCGTTTCAGGCATTTGTTTTTTATGTTCTTCTCCTGAAATGTATTTGTTTGACAATAATCATAGAAAGTGAGTATACGTATAAATATGCCACGCAAACAAACGGGTGTGACTTCAATTTCTTGTCTGTCTGAGGACGTATTGGGAACGAGGTAGAATTAAAGAATTCTTATGAACAAATGTATTGGATAAGTTAATTTCTGATGGATCTGGATAAAATATATTTCAAAACTTTGTCAACACTAGATAATTTCATTTAGGCAGATATAGTATCTTGATATATTTGGCTATCATGCGTTTAAAATACGTTCCTAAAACTATGAAGACGTTGGGTGAGAAATATTGCTATTGTACGTTCGAAAAGTATTTGGTTGTATTTTGTAGTTCTCAAGTTACCCATGAACTTTCGTGGGCTAATTAACGTCTTGACTTAGCATATTTAGCCTAGTTTTGCAATGATGTGAATGTGATTCAAATGTTATGCTGTCGTGATTCGCAGAGGTTGCGACAAGATTCGTTTTAAGAAATTGTATTTTTTGATAAGATCCCCTAATTTTCGGAGAACTTGGTTTCGGACAACTGGGTTTCGGAGAATTGAGTTTCGGACAACTGGGTTTCGGACAACTGGATTGACCCCTATGAGGGTTGATCATACATCAATTGAAAATGGAGATTTTCCTGTACACTTTTCCCAAACATGTGGAATAGACTAGATGCGAGTAGAAATTATCTTGATTTATCCTATGCCAAGTAGGGTTTTAGGGAGATAAGTTGGTAAGATGTATCCCGTATCCTGATTTTGAGGTTTCCATATCAAGAACCTTCATATCTCCCGTCATATCTCCCGCTTCGGTGCATATCTTCCCGCTTCGGGGCGTATCTTCCCGCATCCAAAAAAGTGGAAATGCAATAAAATGACTTTGCATATGAATGATTTGTTTATTTTTTACACCTTGTACTACTGAAAACTCTACTTGGTATAGGATAAAGCAGTTATGTACGGTCGGTTTGGATATTGGGTTCATCCCTCGTGAGATATGCACATCTACTTTCTGTCCCTACGGTCCCTCAGGTAGATATGCATATCTCCCTCTGGAAAAACCCCATATCCAAAACCTCCCAGTACATAACCCTTATTTATCCCATGGTTACAAGGATATAGATCGAATATCACGTGAAGATATAATTGATACGTGGATGAAGATATCATATTTTAGCAAACAATTCCCAAATCATCGAATATCACTTTTGAAACCATCGAATATCACTCTTTGAAAGGTGATATTCGATGGTTTCAAAAGTGATATTCGATGGTTTCAAAAGTGATATTCGATGGTTTTGATTTTTTCAAT